TCATTTCTGTGATGGAGATATCCAAAGACATAATTGAGAAGGATGCTACAGTACTCACCAGCCAAATCTTTGAAATAGACTGTTTGGGAAACCAGGATCCTGCACATGTCACAGCACACATTTGTCAGAATGTTAGTGCAGCTCGACAGGGAAATAAAACAGAGCTCTCTGTCAAGATTTTTAGTTTTAAAAATAATTAAACTTTCCCAATGTATGTACTCTGGAGCATAAATTTAAGAAAACTGATAATGGATGCTTTTCTCAGATACCTTTGGAAGTCTTTAACTACAGCTAAAGGGTGTCAGCCATACACTCATCTGCTGACAATATTTCTGCAGAAATGCCTGTGGTCTTCATTGACCACACTTTGCATCATGTGCACTTGTTCTTACCCATCAGACTGAAGAACAGGACAAGCAAGGGACAGGGCTTGCTCCATCTCAGACCAAAAGGACAATGACCACTATTTGAAAGAAAAAAATGTGCCCAGACACTGCCAAGGGGACAAAAGAGTCCTCAGATTTGTTAAAACGTGCCATGCACAAAATCCTTCCTAGCTTCTGGTTCCACATAAGCACTGAAAAAAGCCTCAGAAGTGCTTAGGAAAATAAAGATCTGTAGATTCCAGCTCAGTGAAATCCTTTCATTTACAGCTGTGCAACTCAGTATGACCTGGATACCCCAAATCCTGGCACATACTTGAAAAGGAGATTGGGGCAAAAACAGGACATGAGGCAATGGTTATGCTTGGAAAGGAAGATGCTTATTCACATGTCTTATTTAACACCCCTGTCACAAGAGGTGGTGCTCGCCATTCATTCTGCTTCACCTTTTCTCATTGTGCTTCTATGCAACTTCCCAAGCCCTCCCTCTCTTCTGTACTCCCCATATTAATTTATTTTTAACTTTGTGTTCCCCTAATACTGCCTCTAATGCTCTGCAGATGTCCCCCTCTCATTTGAAACCCTAACCTTGTCTTTTCTGTCTCTTTTTAAAAATTACGGTAGTACCAATTGCAGTTTATAGTTTATATGATACCCATTGCTTTACCTGAATTACATTCTTGACATAAGTCAAGATTTTTATTTTATTGTGGGCTTTTTTGTTGTGGGGTTTGGGATTTTTTGCTTGTGACTTTTATTTTTCTTAACAACTTGCACATCCTACATCCAGATCAAGTTTTTAGCCCTTTCATTTTTGGATTTAACCTAAGAGACCCTGCACATCAACTGGGTTAAATGTTTCTAAATGTATCATTAAAATGAGACAGCCTCCACAAAAGCTTGGATCCCCTCACCTGCCTCATGCATTCATCAGAGAAAAGGATTAGACAAACTTCATATTCACTTCCAACTAAAAGGACACTGTGATTTCTTTAGTAAGATCACATATATTTTTAAGAAGAAAATCTGTTTTTCTAAATAGTGGTTTAATTTTGCTTCCCAAAAAAGTATAGGGATTCACACTGGGACTATTTTGGGAAAGTTCGCAGGCATAGTTTGCTCTCCAGATACACCCAAAAAAATCAGTAATTTCAATCTGAAAAGATGAACAATTGTCCTGAACAGCCTAGGTAAGGGATGTATTTTAGGAAACCCTTACTTAAGTTATCCCTGGATAACTTAAAATGAGAAAAGGAAGTGTAACTTTACTTTGACTTTACTGCTTGACTGTTTGGTTTCATCACCTGACATATGTCTGTGCATTTTAGAATCCCAGAACTATAGAAACATTTAGTTTGGAAAACATCTCCAAGATCATCAAGTCCAACTACTGTAACACTTTACAGAGCACTATTTAAAGACAAAAATTGTAATCTTACAGCTTTTTATTAGAAAAACTTCTGATGTAAGAAATTTCGTACTCTGTCACAATAAAAGCTGAAATTTCACTGACAATACTCAGCTCACTTTCATGTTTCTCAAGTTTCCTGGCTTTTGGCCTTGTAAAGAAACTATATTAACAAATTTCAGCATTGGAACAAAATGTAGCATTTGGAAAAGCCCTGTATTTTGCTTGCTCTGACAATCTGTCAGGACAGGATTAGTGTTAATTCCTACACCCAGGAGACCTTTTTTCCTTCTCTTTTACATAACTAGGCATGAGTAATCTTGACTTCTTGGCAACTGAAATCATCAATAGTTCATTCTTAATTTTAAAAAATTCTAGTTTTGGAAGCAAAAAAAAAAAATCTCTAGCTTTTTTTCAGTGTTATAGCACAGAAGTATGAAAAATTAAATATGCTTGTAAGAATACACACAAGGACAAAGATAACTGCATCAGGTGAAACAGCTTCCAGCAGAGAAAATGCTGATCTTATTTTGGGAAAAACTAAGGGCAATGATAGCATATTAAAAGACTAACACTGAAGTATGTGGGTCTACAACTCACAGAGAGAGGTGCTTTTCGCTTCATTATCTTAATTTCACTTCATGCCCACTGTTAAGCAAATATTCTCATATCCTGGAAATACAGAAATTACTGCTAGAGAATGCTGCAACCACATTAAGGTTACACTCACTGTGTGTCTTATCAAAGGGGCTCCATTAACCACATGATGCCGAGTCTTCCACTACTTTTTATTTTGTTCAACAATGCAAGAAGATGACATATTTAACTATTTATTTTCAAGATATTACATGAAGTTGTAAATTAATGCTTTAAAAAACATCAAGACTATAATTTTGCAGAGGGGTTACAGCACAGGGAGTATTTAATTACATATATTCAATTAATATTTAATTACGCCATCAATTTTATTGCCAGAGATGAAAAAAGGGACCTAAAAAAGTGTTTCAGCGCAGTTTTTTAATTGAATTGTATGCCTGCACACAGTTTAATCTTTGTAGTGGTCATCTTCATTCATTGTTAAAAGAACATTAATTTGTTTTTTAAACTAGGAAAAAAAAATCATTTTAGCAGTAGCTACAGCTTAAAATGGAAAGCAAGACAAGACTATCCTGCACAATAAATCTGGAATAGTGCCTCAAACTATAATGAAATATCAATGTTAATGCAGTAAAGCAGTATTTGTTTCTTTTATTGTTTTAACGCTGCTACAGGAAAAAACTCATCATCTTTAAAAACTAGTTTTGCTGTATTTTCAATGTATTTTACTCATTAAAAGTGTTACTATACAGAAAGAACAAAAGATGCATCTATCAGTGATCAGTCTAAAGAAATTTTAAAAATCAAGACCTCCAATCATGCTTTCCTTGACAGATTCACTTCCATGGTAGCCTAAAACCTCATGACAGCTCTCTATTCAGAAGCACCAAAGATGTGTTTTGTAAATGCAATGTAAATAATAGTAATAATAATAGTAATATAATTTAAATAAATAATATTTAAATAAAATGTAAGTAAAAATTAAAATGTTTTATGTGGCAGCCACCTTCCATAATCACCTGGGAGCTACTGAAACACAAATAAGCTTAGCCACCATTTTTTCTCTCCAGTTTGTTCCAATGCACCAATGGCTAAGAAGCAGTGCAAAGCAACCTCATTTTCTAGCAGCATAATCTCATTTGTGGTCCAAAGGGAAGCCAATTTACTCCCATCAAGCACTTTCTAAATGAACTCACATAATACAGACATTACTAACAGTTTTACAGCTCCACTGCTTGCTCCTATAACCAGCAACAAGGACTTATAGGTTTCCTTCCTTTCTATCACACTTTGTTTTCTTGAATATTCAACTGAAAACACTGAGGAGCAAGGAATTAATTTCTAGTTTTAAATACACCTATAAGCATCTCAAGGAGTATTCAAACAACAAATGAAAAAAAGAACAGCAGAAACTTATACTAAAATAGCTCATTTGAAAAAATACCATTGTATTTT